TTGCGGCGAACTGTAAAGCAGCAGCAGGCACGAAATAACTGGCTTCGTTCGGTGACGATAAGCCACATCACAGTTCATACGCGAATTTATTTGCACCAACAGTAAACTGCTTGCGCCAACGCTATTCCCACATCTGCTGACAAACCACACACATGCACAACCTCAAAAAGCTAGTTAAAGACCCGCATTGGTAAGCTTTATTGCCCCGTCACTGTCTGCAACTAGTCTCGGGAGGAATTCGTCAAATAACAAACTTTTCCAAATAAAAAAAAATGTACCTTTGCCCTTCCGAATGTTACCACTTTCTTTCCATCTTTGTACCAGTTAATCTGTAAGGATGCATCATGCGGCTCTACCGATGCGGAACACCTCAGCCGTGTTGTTGTTCCAAGTGCTCCTGTTATTCTTCGTACCGAACGTTTGACCGGTAGTAGCGGTGCCACTGAAAACACAAATTAAATTTTCGATCAATGATCGCTACAGACAATAGCAGCAATGCACAGTCTAAAAAGATTCGGCCCAGACGCACTAAACTGCAAAATGCGGTGGAGTGGGACAGTGGGACAGGGACGGAAGGCATTTTTAAAGGGAACTGACGGCTTTTGAAACAAATTATAAGAAAAAGGTAGATATTTTTTAAAATACTGGCTAACGCTCCACCAAAAAAGGCGAAGGAAAAGCATAAGAAATAAATTATATCCAAAAAGTGTTGCGGAAAAATCTATTAGAGTACGATTCTCGAAGGGAAAATCTCCTGTCCCTTGCCATTAGGTGAGTAGTACCCCACAGTAGCCTGAGTGTAACGAAACGAAATGCTTTATATCAAAACAACTCCTCAACCACTGCATTTAATTTGCGCAAGCATCGAAGGTGTAGAAAACGCTCAAAAAAGTAGTTCGACAAGTCGGCAAATGTTCAACAGATATTCGAAGTCTAAAAACCGCTAGTACTGCTCATCCTTCCTCGCACCCAGCATGAAAAACAGTGCTGAGGCTACCTTCCATCAAGTACTTTCTCCAACATTAGGAACGGAATCCAGTGTACAAAGTCCCTGATGCATGTTGTCATCCCGAACGCTATTCACCATCATCACCAAATTTTATGACCTCATCAGCTATGTGCAATTTATTTGTCAGATATTAAAAGATTACTTATAAATGTGGCGTCATTCACAAAATCTGGCGAAGTTTCTAGACAAAGAAATACGTTTAAATATTGCGTGAGAACAAAATATTTGTAGTGAACTGGCAATGCTGGTTCGCCCTGAATGCGCTGACGTTTTTATTTCAACTAGATATCCCACCAAAATCCCCATACGAACCTTGTAC